AAAACAGTATTCTGTGGTGAATTCTATTATCTGTATTTGGGTAAATTGAGAATTTTGTTACATACTCAGAGTTTTCCTGAAGTTTCCCACACTTCCAGTGAGAGCGACTCCTGAACAGTGCTAATGTTGAGTTTCTAGTTTGATAGCAAAATAAGACATCATGAACAGCTTTCTAATTGCCATTATTTAACTGATATTAACTGTAAATATTTCACATTAAATACTATATTAATTTTCACATGAAATAATATACACCTCTGAAGAAATAATATGTACCTTTGAAATTAAGTAGAAATCTCCCTGCCATTTAGTACTCGTCATCTTTTTTCTTTCATGTGAAGGAGCCATGACTAAAATTACATCTGAAAGCACATTTTAAGCATGATATTATGTAATATTTTTGTATTGATACACTTTTCTCCTTCTGTCAGAGACCATGAAAAAGATATTTCAAGAAAAGGGGATCATGGCAGGTGAAGAAAGAGCTTTTAAACCACATCTGACCTTCATGAAATTGTCAAAATCAACAGAGCTACGTAAGGAGGTGAGCTCACATTTCTCATAGCTCAGCAGCAATCTACAAAGTTTAATTTGGAGATGGGCAGTGTTCTTTATGCTGTAGCATCATATTTGCTACTTTGTAACCAGCTGAAAAGGTAAGACTTTAACACTTGGTTTTTAAAGAAAAAATTAACGTATCTACCATATAAGCGGTCCTGTACTGTAATTTACCCCTCTTGCCCCTCTTGATATGCTCAGTGCAGTAGAATCATGGTCTGTTTTCTGTTGGGAAATTAGGCAAGACCAAAGGATAAAAGTAAAATAATAAAAAAAATAAAAAAAAAATATTTCATGTTCAGAGTTGCAGAACTCCCATCGGGGGTAGATTGTATGCATGCAATTTTTTTTTTTCTGAATTTTGTTACTGTATAGGAGAAAATGAGCAAATAAACAGTGGAATTTCTGTTTGGATTATGCACAGTAGACAGACTGTTAGTTCTCTCTATTGAATATGCTTTGGTGAATTTCAGAGTAATGAGGAAAAACTATATTAATATATATATTAATATAATATATATATATAGTATATATAATTTAATATAATATATCTTCTATATTCTCTCTTGAAAGTTATTTCTTGCCTAGTAATTAGATTTTTGGCAAAATACAGAAATACATGAAAATAGGATATAATTGTGATTAAAATATATAGAAACAATATTAGTGTACCTATTTTTTGTTTCATACTAATTTAACTGTAGTACTGTATTATATTTAACACAAGGTATATGTCCATACATGTTTTTACTAACATTATATAGAATATTTTATGTGATTTTTTAACACTGACTAGGAAAATAATTTTCAGGAAAAAATATTTTAAATAGGAATTATAGTACATAAAACTAATCTTTTGATACTTCCTTAATAGTGGGCATTAAAAAAATCCTTAAAAGTTTAATTGGAAATATCTCTAAAGATGCTAAAGGTGCATGTTTTAATTAAGTAGTATTTTGAAATCAGTAGAAAGAAGGTAGTGAGATTTGAGATACATCAAGAAAATTTGAGGACAAGCATACCTGCTCTAAAATAGAACTAAGGACTTATCCACAGGATATAGGTGGTATTTGATACGAAATTTGTAAACTCACAGAAGCTTTTGCTTGAAATGACAGTTGGATTTTTAAAATGCTAGTTTCAGTCCACTTCTAGAATATCTGCTGTTCAGTGATTTAGTTAAAACATCTGAGACAATCAGGGTGGGGTTTTTGCTATTCTGTATTTCTACTTTTTTTGGCTGGTTGGTTGTTTCATTTACATTTATCTACGTTCCATGAAATATTAGTCAGGATACATCCTTCCTGTGTTCTGATATTCACTGCTGCTGACAGAACCAGGTCAGTGTCATTCCAAATCATCTTCCTGAGCCCTCCATAATGTTGGATAATGCATGTGATCTACTGTATAGAAAGATATTATGTGTTAAAAAACTGTACATTTTTCTCTGTCAATTCAGTGTCAGGCATATGCATCAGTCTTTACTATATTTTTTTCTTTTATTGTATTCCTGCATTTAGTTAGTTTCATGCATTTACAGAAAACAGTAAATAAAAATATGTATCATAAAAGGAATAATTATTTTGATATTTTGATATATAATTATATCATACAATGTCTAATTGCATTTTCAAAGCATGCAACAATATGAAAAGCAAGAAAAAGGAAGTGGATGAAGCTTACATAAGCGAGCTTATAAGAGCAAATAGTACTGAAGTGGTTGAGTACAGTTCTCAGCCATTGCTTTATAATGATATTAATTTATTTTTTAAATATAAGCTTCCTTATTTGACACAATATGCTTTTAAGTCACTCTCCTCTTAATGGCATCTAAATTCCACCAAAGTTATATTTTGGGGAAAAAAAATACCTGTTTTTAAATTACATTATATTTTATATAATATATATATATTATATTGTATATTAATTATATTAATTTTAATTAATATAATTGCAGGCATTTTGAAATGCATATATTCTGAAGAGACTTTAACTTTTCTAAAGTTAAAAATTATATTTACAAAGCAAAGAGTTTGAGAACTCAAAACAAGTAAAGATCTTAAGAAATCAGGTTTTCAGTTTGAAGGCACGTCACTGAGCACATCTAAAAAACTTGGAAACATATATTAATAAAGGATGAAAGTATGAAATAAAGTGGATTAGAAAAGAGCTGTCTGGTTTACTGTACCCCCTTCAGCTTCTCAGATTAAAGGACTTATTTACCTACTTAGAAGTGGGACCAGCTCGTTCCTCATGCTTAGTTGGACATTTTTCAGTTTAGATGTGCCACTGAAAACTTCCCAAAAAAAGAGGTATCATGTGCTCCTAGATGTCCTTGTGGAAGGAGACAAAGGGATATAATTTACCTGAATATGTTCAGCTATTTCCAGCATTATTTGCATGATAAGAATCCTGGGTTAGTATCGTTACCTTCTATGCAAAGAACCGAATGAAGCACAATAAAATAAGCAACTGGAATTTTGCATTTGAAGATAATGTTTCTGTTCCTTCTTCCCACGCTTAGCTCCTGAGCTGCAACCAGTCAATCACAAGTCCTGTATTTTCCATTTGTCCAGGTTCCTGTTTATTTCAGGGTGTGTTGTGAGGTACTTCATAAATGCAGTATGATGTTTGAAGGTCCTTTGATAACTAGTACTGCCAGAAATGCAAATGCTGTGAAATGAATTTCATAAGTAGATGACTGACAGCTAAATTGCTCTGATGGCATCTGCTTAATTAGTGCAGAGTGTATCTCTAGCCTAGACAGTGGTTGACAACAAAAAACTGGCAAAATTATAAATTATGAATCTTTTATATATGATATTCTTTCGTATGGTGTATCTTTGAGATGCTGCATGTATAGTTAGTAAAACAGAATATATTATTGAGAAAAACGTTTGTATTTGCAACACTTCTGAGTATTTTCAATGCCTGATTCACTGTTGCCAGTCACTTTAATGGTATCATCATGATACCAGATATTATGCAGGCAGTATTATTATGATTGCACTGGAAATAGCATTAAATGCACATTTCAGTAATTTACTCTTGTATTTTTTAATGTAAATTATGTTGAATTTGTCACTTTCCAGTTTTATACAGAAATAACTTAAGGTACTTATTTGGTAATAATAATAGTTTCCTTCATCATCAAGGAGGAAATTCCAAAACAAACCCAAAGCAGTGTCTCCAATTTCAGATCTTTTAGAGGTATGTTGATACTCATCTTTTTGCTATGTTCAGCCAGATATACCAGGTAACATGTTTAATACTGATAATTATGAAGGGATTTAATTTTTTTTAATGTAAATTTTCTCTCATTTTGTGACATTAATATTTTCGGCTTCTTGAAATTACATATAGATGAGAGATGTAGTATGTCTTTTATTTGCCATAATGTAAATGGTTAGATCAAGTTGTGACAGACAATAAGCTATCTAATGTCTCTTCTGTCTTATTTACATGGGGAATCTCAGGCACTTGTCTGGCTACAGGAAAGGTTATTACTTTGATGGTATTTAGATATGGCTCTTGCATCATTAATCTGTTAATGATTTTTTTTGCGTATGTGTACATAAAATACTGTGTTCAGTAAAGATTCTTTGCATGACAAGAGAAGTGAAAGGAAATCCTCCCTTTGTGGTATTAATCCTCAAATGTTAATAACTGAAAATAGAATAGAAAATGTGAATTTCTCTCTTACATTCCTAGGTTTATAATTTTGCCTTTATTTATACCCATGTGGCATAGACACATAGTACGTTTAATACAACTGTATTATACAGGACCTTAAAGAGAACAGTTCTTAGTAAAACCATGGCACTTTATTTATCACTGAATCTGACCACCAGCATTCTTTTTTTAATAACTCCTGGGATCTCTTGCATTTGGATAGAAAAGCTGATAAAAGAAAAGCCATAGAGCCATTAAATCCCTCTGCATTGTCACTTATCAGCCTCTATGTCAGTGGTTTGTATTTCGACAACTGTTAGTTGTTGGTACAAGAGTCTGAGTCACATACTTACTTGGAATCTTTGATGCTGATCCTAAAATGGCTTAAACCGTCACTTTGGCACAATATGAAACAATAAACAAATTATTTTAATAGTCTTCTAAGACCAGAAGAAATGTATTGTGATTTTTCTACAGTATATTTTTTTAATCTGAGGTTCCAACAATAGGGACAGAAAATACACAAACTGGGTAACCCAGTAGCTGGAAGAGGTTCTTAAAATTCTTCCTCTTCATACACTTATATGATACACCATATAGCAGGGATATGTAAGTACTTGGTTTAAACAAGAATAAGGAAGGACATAACTGCAGATAGTTTGTTACAAGCTAAATGTCCTGTGAGGTGTTATGTCACAGTGATCATTCTTTGAAGTGCCAGACTCTCCATGGTAGATATGATGCACTCTAAGCATTTACACATACCCTTGCTACAGGACTGAGGCCGCAGACGGCAACACCTCTTTAGACATGAACTCTTCTAAGTTCACTTGGGGATCATCAAGGTCTATGCTAAGAAACTTTTCCACAACAGACTTGCATTTTTCCATCCTATCACCTTTCGAAGGATGATCAAGACATTTGATAGGCTTTCCATTGCGGATCAGTTCTGATACTTCCACTCCTCTTTCAATAATTTTGGCTGGCATTCCTGCTAATGCAGCAATATTGGCAGCGTGACTAATGGTGGACACGCCCTCTTTGATCTGATAGAAAAATATCAACTCCTCTCCATCCTGATGGGTCTCCATGGTCAGGTACTCCAGAAGAGGTGTGTCAGGCAGGAGTTCTAGTTGCATCAAACTGTGAAAATTAGTAGAGACAAAGACCTGTGGACACTGTGTTCCTTGTCTGATCCAGTACCTCAGGACAGCAGCCAGAAGGGACAGGCCATCCACTGTGTTGGTCCCTTTACCAAACTCATCAATAAGTACTAGGGACCTCTCTGTGGCATTGTTTACAGCCTTGGCAACCTGGTTAAGATCAATCATGAATGTGGAGAGCCCTACAGAAACTGATTCCCTACTGTGGATTCTTGTGTAAATCCCATCAATTACTCCAATCTCTGCCTCTGCTGCAGGGACGTAACTGCCGATTAGAGCCATGAACACTATAAGACCTACTTGCTTTAGGTAAACACTCTTTCCAGAAGAGTTGGGCCCTGTGATGATCTTTATTCGTCTGGTAGCCTCGCCGCTGTCGACAGGGTTGGCCACAAAAGTCTTTGCACATAGTTCCATGAGTGGATGTCTTCCATCCTTGATGTGGAAGCCGTGGCGGTGAGTAAAGCGAGGTCGGCAATAGGCGTTTTCCCGGGCCATCGCTGCCAAGGCTAGCAGCACATCAAGGTGTGCAGTGTACTCAATCACACTGTTAAGTACTTCAGACTTCTCCAAGATCCTTGTTTGCAGCTGGTGCATGATGAGTGTTTCCTGGTCTCTGATCTCAGAGTGCAGGTCACCCAGCAGACTGTCTAGCTCCTTGGTCCGGGCACTTCTGTATTGCAGTTTATTGTCTGACATGAACATGAAGTCCAAGCCTTCAATTTCGAAGTCAGTCTTATCCACCATATTTGGTAGGCGTGGAATGGACAGGAGGAACCCAATCAAAGGAATGTAGATCACAGAACAAGAGGGAATATGACTGTCCAAAGTCTCCAGTTCTTTTTGTGCCACTTCTGTAAGGAAGCCTGGCAGTCCCATCAGCTTTCTTTTCTTCTCATCAATCGTGGAATCTACATTGGGTCTAACAGTGAAGCGGTTCTCTGAGAGGCTGCCTTCAAAGTCTACCACTTTGCTAATTAGGTTAGCAATGTAGTGCAGATCATCAGTGAAGACAGATGAAATAGTCTGAAAAAGTTCAATAGTGCTGGGCAGAGAACGACACGTGTCTCTAAGGCACACTGCATTGTATGCCGTCTTATACAGTGCTTGCCAGTCACTAACTTTTGTGTTGGAAAGAGTCATTCTCTTTAAAATAAGAGGCACATTTTTAATATTCTTGAGGCAGTTTTGAAGAGTAAGGACTGTTTCATGGTTCTGAGCCAGAAGGAAGAAGTTGATAACATCCAGCCGTTTGTTCAGCTCTGTCAGGTTCCGGGTAGGTCGTGTGAGCCACAGCCTCAGCAGTTTTTCTCCCCATTTGCATCTGCAACGATTTAAAATTCCATATAAGCTGAATCCTTCTTTTAGTCCACTGGACAGCTTGTACACAGAAGGATGGATATCACTTTTAAATATCTGCAGGACACAGTAAGCGTCTTGGTCCATATTCACAGTATCTGACAGCACAAATTTTTTAAAGGCCAAAATAGGAACTGCTATACTGCTGTCTTCGAGTTCAACTCCAACTCTTCTTCTGTCTAGAAACTTAAGGAGGCCCCCTAAGGCTCGTATCATGAGTGGACTCTCAAAAGGGATGACTGAGGACAAATAGAGAATTTTCTCAGTGGCAGTCATATGAGATGGGATAAAAGGAAATTGCCTAGACAGGATCCGTTGCTTGCTGACTTCTAGACCAAAATCTATGTTAGGAAACAGGACAATTTCTGGTTTTCGTATGTCTTTATCACCAGCAGTAGCTGTTAGGTTGGTCAGGAATTTGGCAATATTCTGGTCCTGTTTTGCACTGGTCACTATGCATTGAGGGTTAAGTTCCCCAGTCACTTTTTGCAGTAGCTTGAGGTCTTCATTATCAGGTGTCTCAGGCATGAAGTAGACTGAGCAGTCTTCTGTATCATAGTAAGTAATTGCCAGCTGCCCTGCATACCACAAAACAGACATATGTGTCTCCGAGTGCTCTTGCTCCTCTTGTTCCTCTTGCTCAGGCCCAAGCGACGGTGGCAAGGCACAGCTCGTGGCTGATGTGGCACTCATTCTGTTGGCAAGAGGTATTTTTATTCACAACTCATCCAAAACGTCCTGAGAAGCAACTTTAATTGACAATAGGAGGTTGACACTCACTCTTCCAGCTCTGGAGAACCTAAGATGCTGCCAGGAATTACCTATAAATGTTCAAGTGAAAAGATGCAGCCAGTAACTACAGCCACTGTCAGCTTCCAAGGAAGGTGTAACAGAGCTAACTACCAGCATTAGTTTTACAGTTTTTCTTCGTGTCCTTTTAAGTATCTATGTACGCCCAAGTACCCATAAATACAGTAACATGCATGGACATGTATACCCATGTACAAAATCATCCTCCCTCAGAGGTTTGTTATGCGCACCTGCGCTGACCATGGCTTCTCTCAGCAGTGCGGCCTCGTGGCTTGGCCATCATTTCAGGGCCGCAGCCCCATATTTATGCTGCACCATCACACAGCACCTGTTTCTGTACAAGCTCGTAATGGATCAGACATATCAGTCCCTATCAGCACCATACTTCCAATCCTCTCCCGTTTCTTTGCTCGCTACTCACCCTCCTCACCACAGACGGGCAGCTCGGCTCAGCTGCTGCGCCTCCCCGCATCCCAAAAGCGTTGTGCTGTCCCCTTTCCCTTCCTCTCTGGGCGGGAGCTCGGCGCTCCGTCCCCAGCGCCCGTCAGGGGGCCCGCACCCGCCTGTGCAGCCGGGCCGCGCCCACAGCGGCCCTGGCCCGGCTGGCGGCTCGGCCGCCCCACAAGGAGCGACCCTCGGGCCGCCTGCGGGCCCCGCCTGGCTGGAGCACCGCAGTGGGGTGCTGGGTTGTGGGGTCTGGACACGGAGCCCGGAGATACTTGCGGCTCTGCTATTTGCGCTGTCACCACTGGAGTCTTCCTGCTCCTGGGCCCGAGGCTGGCTGTGGCAGTAGTTACGGGGGCTGCATGGGGTTCAACTGCTGGGATAGCGGGCTGTGCCTTCGCAGAGACACGGGGAGAAAAGCCAGACACTGCAGGGCTGCCAGAGGCATTCTCCCCGGTGATCTGGCAGTCCTGCAAGAGCTGCTTGTGCTGTGCCTCTCCAGGCCCACGTTACACAGCCACATCCTTTACAGACATCACCCATTACAGTGCTTCCTCGAGAGGCATATGTCTTCCTCCTTCCCTTCCAGCACTAAACACTTCAAAGTGGCCTCTCAAATAGTCTTGTTTCTCACCCTCCTCCACTATAGCTTATCTTTATTATCAGCATCTCTACTATTCCCGTGTGGTAACAACTTTTCTCTTGCATCTCTACTGCTCCAGACCCTTTCAGTTAAGAAATGAGCCGTGACCTTCTCATGCACCTCCATTGCTTCATCCTTTCACATCTCACTGCAGCAGCACTCCAGAAACTATTCCAGTTACTAAAAATACCATAGATTTCCCATGGCTGCTTTTCCAAATACCTTTCAGTAGTGCATCGCAAGCACAACTCAATTCCTGAGCATTTGACATTTTGATTCACACCTTACCAACCTGTCTTTGACAAGCAACATCCCAACCTCTTGTAAATGTTATATTTTTTATTGGAGCATGGAGTTGTGATTTTTGTCTTTTCTTCATTTCATTCTAGAAGTACTCAAGGCTTCACATTTTGACAAGTGTTCTCCTGGCTGAAAACATATTTTTTTATTACTAATTGATGTCTACCTGTATTTCCAAGAACTGTCAGCCAAAAAGCAAGGAATAATGATTTCATTATGAATCAATAATGATTTCAGAATAGCCTTAGTACATAAGGGCTAGTCTAGCCATAGAATATAACATTTTAAATAACTACTGTGAGAACGGAATAAATGTAGACTTCCACAGAGATGTAGACTCCCAGATTTCCATTTTCTGAAATGAAAAGCATGCACCACTAGATGTCATCATTCCAGTGATTAAGGAAATGAAAGGACATTGGACCTTTGCTAAAGTAGACTTTTTACGCTGATGAGCTGCCGAGAAACCACAGGCAAACCGGGACTTTGCAGTGGTTGGGGTTGTAAAGCTGAGGGTTCAGGGTGTTGTCGGGTTCACTGTGCAAACACATGGGGGGGTGTGCAGAGAGAGAGGTTAGGGAGGAACACAAAAGAGGAGTGGATGATGTGGTCTGCAAAAGGGGCCAGTCCTGTTTAAAATGAGGCTGGTGGGCACACTTGTCCAACTCATTGCCGAGGGCAAATGTCTGTATCGTCCCCAAACTGTGTGTGTGGGGAGTGCAGGTGTTCACTGCCAAACCTCAAGCTGGCCCAGCCAGCAAGTGGGAGACCCATGGGCTCAGTAAGAGGCCAGCAATCTGGGCAGGGGTGTTGTGGGGACAGAAGGGCCATGGTGGTGCTCCAGGAATGCACAAACATGAACATGGAGAGAAAGTCATGCGCATCCTACACTGTTGACCTTCTGTCCCTGCCAGGAGTGACCTGCACTTGTATCTCCTGTGAGCCCCATGTGCAGGTGCTGGTGAAGGCAGTGGCGTCCATGTAGTCAGCCATGTCTGTGTCCTTTGAGCATGGGTATGTGTCTCTGGGAGGTGAAAGCAGCAGGTACATCCATTGAAGACTGAGGCTCCCACACACTGGGCTGCGTTCCAGCAGCCAGGCCATAGGGACCACTGGGGTCGAGCTGCTAGAGGCTCCTAATATTCCTTAGCATAGAGCAATGATACTTAAATAGCAAACAGCATTATTGGGAGATAGATTGAAGGAGAAAATACTGAATTTCTACAGAGATCATTTATTTTTATTGACAATGCAGTGGAATGAGGACCCCTAAACTCTTAAAGTAACTACTGAAATATTTTCTGAAAATAGCTTCATAAAATATTTATTGTGTTCTGTTTCATATATATAAAACTGCATGATTCCAATATTATAATCCCAGTAAGTTTTTAGATATACTGAGATTAAAAATCTAGCGCTGGTAAAATACAACCATTTTTTCCTGTGTGCTGATTTAATGACTCAGAAAACTGCCCTTGATGACCATTTGAGATGCTTCCTTGTAGCAGCATGCCCAGTGATGACAGCAAGAATAATTTCCAGTTACTTGTTCCATGGACACTGTTGCAAACCATTGGAAGTTAAAGCAGTTATATATCTATTGTGTGTATCTATTTGTTTCCTACACACTGAAAAAGAAGTGGTGGAAAGGAGGAATAATGACACTTTCATTTTATTGTTAACTTCTGCAGTAGACAGTGCTTCCCTAAAAGAGAAGATTTGGAACATGATTATTTCTGTATTCTTTTTGCATCTTGAAGTAGTTTTCCATATTAACTGTACTTACGGTTAAAATGAAAACTATAGAAATTAAATATGAAAATTCATTCTCCAAGCAGAATGCCTAACTGAATTTTATGTTGATTTTTAAAGGTGAAAAAAATTGACTCTAGTCTGTATGAAGATTTCAAAAACCATTATTTTGGAGATGAAGTCTTGCATCGCTTTGATCTTTGCTCCATGTTCAAAAAAAAGCAACCAAATGGTTACTACTACTGTGAGTCCTCTATTGTTTTTGGTGAGTACATCTTAATTTTTTTCTGGTCAGTTGCGTTTCTGAGTTATATGTGCAAAAAGCCATTTTTTCTGGAATGTGTGTTAGGCAATTATTGTAAGATTCATGGAGTCTGACAGAAGTCTCTCCCTTAGTCTTGGCTCGGTAGGAACTCTATGCAGTGGTTCTCACTGACAGCTAAAGTTTATGTTCGATTATCCATCTCCAGAATCCCATTCCATTTCTCATCCTAAAATGAGTGTTTAAGTTAAGTGAGATGTATCACTCCCCAGAGCTGCTCATCTCTCTGTTGACTTTAAGTACAGCCTGTGTGACTAAGTCATATTAGACACAGTACTTATAGATGATTAAAGCTAAGTGAAATGTCTCTGGTTTGGCAGAGATGTGACCTTATTTGGACTACATTCATGTACAGAGAGAATTTCAGTGGCAGATTTGATAATAACTCTTCAGAATACTGTTAGACTTTAAACATTGTACAGACACCTTGCTAAATTATTACAATGATAGAAATCACAGTTGTGTTTTCCTGCTTTGTCTGATCAGAAATACCACTGTTAGAAGTTAGTGCTGGTTTCAGGACTATATTTAGGATTTTGTTGACAATTTGGTTTCTCCCTTGTGGTGACTTCTTTGTGCTGCAGCATTGCTGCTGGAAGTGCTTACTGGCTTTAAGGATTGTTCTGAGGACTTTAATTAATACTTAAACAATACTTGAAACATGCCAGGCACTTCACAGATTCTAATTGTGTTAATATTTTGTTTGTGCTTAGGGTCACCTTCATTTAGCTTAGCTAAATTGTTATCAAAAAAATCAAAAGCAGTACAGAGGAAAAAAGTATAGGATGTGGCAAAACTATTGCAAAATCCAGATCAGTCAAAATCAAAATGAGATATATTTATTTATCGATATATCTGTCTTATCATATTTATTACCTTGTGTTATGTATGACTCATAGTTTTATCTTTGTGTATATAACTATATATATAATATCTTCTGTACATGTTTGTGTATTTAAATATTTTTATATGCATCCAAATGCTTCAGAGAAAGAGAAATTGCAAGATCATTTAACGTGGTCTAGCATTTTTGATCTGGGTGAAATTGAGGCTCTGCTATTTACAAATATTCTTCAGACTATTCTGGAATATGATTAAGGAATTTAGTATATAACTCATTACAAAAAAAGAATCTGCTTAGTAATATATTTGGTAGATATATTTTTCCCAAACATTTGTTTAAATCTGCCTTGTTGAACTTGTCTTGTGACATCTCAGATTGCTGAAATGAGACAGTCTTTCAGCAGTCTTTTGAATGTGAGTCCCATTAAATGGTTTACAACAGCAGTCAATCAACCAGTATTCAAAACAAGAATCAGATGCTTGTTTGGCTTTAACTCAATCCCAGTATGACCATGCGTAAAGAATTTATGTGTCGTTTTCACAGTCCAAACAGAATTCTGCCTTGAATTATTTTTACAT